ATTTATTACCATCAAATTACTCAACCCATCAAAACTAGTCTGACAATTGGTCGAGCACATGGTGAAACAGTGAGCTAATTTTATAAATCACCAAGCTACTGGGGGAGTTCTATTTGAGGGAACGAGTACAGTTTTCTTTGCATATTCGTCACGATTCAATTTGGATTAAGATATAATTTTTCCAACATTTTAGAATCAATTTCAAACAACTCAGATTTTGTCTCATTGCACTATCATTATTTTGACCTAACAGTCACTGCGATCTATTTGATATATCGTAGTCATTTCGTACATTTGATTGTCTACGTATTTACTGGTGCATATTTTAATTATATGTATATGCCAGGATGCGTCCAAGAATGGGATTCTGGCGGTACAGACACTGAGAAACAACATAATGGCATCAACCCTTTTGGCATCCACGGCCATAACGCTCAGCTCCGTCATCGCCGTCTTGATGGGCAGCTGTGGTGGCAGTCGCTCCATAGCCCTTGTCTACGGTGACAGAAGTGACCTTGGATTCTCCATAAAGTTTTTCTCTATTCTGGTATGCTTCTTGGTGGCATTCCTATTGAACGTGCAATCTATTAGGTACTTCAGCCATTCTAGCATCCTCATCAATGTCCCATACAAAACAATTTCGTCAAATTGTCATGATCATTATCAGAACTATTGCGTCTCGGCTGAGTATGTGGGGAGGATAGTAAATAAGGGGAGTTATTTTTGGTCTTTAGGCCTGCGTGCATTCTACTTTTCTTTCCCTCTGTTTCTGTGGATTTTTGGACCTATTCCCATGTTCTTGTGCTGCCTTGTCATGGTTTTCTTGCTCTATTTTCTGGACGTTATCTTTGACTTTGGCTCCGTTGATGATGAGGCTTCTGATCACGACGACAACCCCCATGACCACCAGGACGAGGAGGCTAATTGAGGAGAAATTTATGATTATTGTAATACTCGATGGAATAGGAGAGAGAAATTCGGATTCAATCCAAGTTGAATCGTATGGTTTACTTCTCTTATCTTAACAGAGGAATCAAATTTAATAAAACTATAAACCATTTTAGGATTACTGTTTGATGGGTTGAATCTACTGTTTTTGCTTGTGTTTATTGTCAAGTGCACAGGCACATTTACAGGCAACAAGAATTATTCATGTTGCTCGATGATGGGACAATGGAATAAGGAAAAGGTGAGATGCGCTATGCTGGTTTATCTTCTTCTGGAGGGGAATGTTCCTCTCTCTCTAAATGTCTCCGAACTTCAATTGGATGGAACATTCCTTGTATGCGATTCCTTGGATGGAATACACTGGAGATGTTCCATAGCCAAGAGTCATGTCACACTCACGTCTGATATGCTTGTGATTAGATCACGTAGTCTGACTGACAGCTCAAAAATTTATAAATAATTAACTTGAATTATGGTAGTTGCTCATTATTATTTTGTTGTTTTACAGGAATTATTAAAATTGCTTTTTTTCACCTCAAATTTCCCATGTACCAGTTCCTCCAGCAGTGATTCCGGCACTTTGTATTTGAACCGTACTTAGGCATCTCCACAACCAAGTCTGGTAGAGGTTGGGGCCAGGTTTAACTTTTGTGTCCAATCAAAATTTACTCAATATCTTCATACACAAACAATTTATAATCGGGTTCAAATTGAATTGTATTTGTGTTATGTTTAATTAAGTTTGTATCTCATTCATTTAGTGTATCAGTAGCGTTAGTTAAGTTACTGTAGAGTGGTTGGGCTGAGAGGCAGGGGACGAGGTAGGGGTGGGGGCAATGGAGGCAATTGCCTCTACTGAAATTTTAAAAAATTTTAGGATTAATTTAAAATTATAATAAAAATAATTTTTTTTAATAACTTGCCCCACTAATTTTTTTTAATGAACTAAAAACTTAGACTCATGGTTTGCTCATATAAACTTATTCTCACAATGTTTTCTTTAGTTTTTAGTTATCTCTATTCTTTTTACAATAACTCACATAAATTACCGAATTAATCATTCTCCGAATTCAATTATTAAGGCATAGATTAATATTTTTGACCAATTATCCAAGTTCGAATATACATCATATTCTAATATTTTAATTGGCATAAAAAATTTTGATTTGATTATGATTCAATTCACTTTGATATGCATACACAAATTTCATATGTAAACATTTGATAAAATTAAATTAAAATTACAATGCGATAAACATATATATATATATAAAATAGGAATGTGTTTGAATTTTATCCCAATCATATTTTCTCCCTCAAAACCATCACCAATTACTTACCTCACTCATCATCTTTTTGTCAAACTCAAACGTCAAATCACATCACTCATTTAATCATTTATATATTTCCTTCCAAAAATCACACTACTTATTTCTATTATATATTTAATTATTTAATATTTAATTAATTTGTAGTTAATATATTTTAAAAAAATTTAATATGGTGGAATTAATTTTTTGAACGCTCGAATTTTATATTTTATAGTGTTTTCAGGCACGGGTTATGACTAATATATATATATATATATATATATATATATATATATATATATATATATATATATATATATATTAAATTGAAATTTTGATAAATTTTATAATATTTAATGGATTTAAATATAGATTATAAAAATAAATAAATTGAATAATTAAATTATATTTAAAATAGAATTTTCAAGATAAATTGTTATTTGAATGAGTCGAAATCTGATAAGCCCACTTGCCAAATAATATTTTTTATAAAAACTGTCTTTTTTTTTGTTCTTTATATATATATATATAATTTTTCTTAGTTAAGTCCTGTCACTTTATATGTATTTATATGTGAAATCTTTGAAAGTAAAAAAAAATAATATGTAGAATTATTTTATAAAAAGTTTTAAATTAGATTTTTTTTTATATAAAGAATGAAATTTTGAGAAAACAATCATGTTCACTAAATGTAACAAATTTTGATAATTGTTGTATAATCGTTTTCTTTCAAGGTTGTCTCCACCGAAAAGAGATTTTGGCTCCACCCCTGGCCGAGTCTAGTCTCTAGTAATTTAGTGGTTTCAAGTTTTACACTTTTTATACTCTCCGGTGGACAATTACCCTAATTTTTTAAGGGACATGTTTTAAGCTCTCGCTCGCACTACTATAATCAATATCTAAATTCGCTCGCACTACGATGATCAATATCTAAACTCGAGGGAATAACCTGAGCAAACTTGGATATTTTGTAACCAAAAAAAAAAAAAGGTTCATATCTCCTTTATAATACACTTCCTATAATTTTTTTTTTAAAAAAATGTCAAATTTACCAGAATCCACTGAGCTCAGCCTTTGTTGCTTTTCAAATGGGCTCAGTTGGATGCCCTGCTCCAATGGTATCCATCTATTAGCCGAACCAGCCAGTTGTGTATACAAACAGCTCGCACTATGTGCACGGCTGACACAAAAAAAAAAAATTATTTGTACCCTTTGATATCAATTTTTTTTTCAGTAAAATTTTAAGCAGCAAAGCAAATTTGTCAAATTATATTTAATTACTATTTTACAAAAGTGAATAAGGCGATTCTCGTATATAACTACTATGCCTGTATATGTATAGAAATACTTTAAAAAACAAAACATAACCAGACATTACTGATAAAGTACTTTAAAAAACAAAACGTACTTAAAAAATTGCATTAGGTAGCTGTACCAAAATGAGAAAAGTGGCCTGGTCTAATTTGAAGTGATATTCAAGCCCTATGGTCTTGCCTTTGATTCCGGGTAATTCTTTATCCATCAAATTTGTACACCAAATCAATTGCAGTTATTTAATCAGGGATAGAACTCACTAATCCACCGAAAGCAAATTTTGGTGCACATAACATTGCTCTTCCCTACTATTTTCTTTATGGACCTTTAACAACTAACTATGTTATCAACTCGGTCATGATCTGTACTAAATTATAACCATGGTCATAGAGGATTAAAAGGGTTTTTGTACCTTTCAACGTTGTGGGCTGAGCTCAGTCGAGTCTTTAGAAGCCAATACGATTTCAGCTGTTAAGCTCATGCAGAGGTCACCATGGCATGCGGGCTGGAATTAAATATGGCCCCACATCCACACTTCTCGTTGATACTTAAAAGAGTAATAGGTGAAACCTAACGTAAAGGGCTACCCGTTTTTATATGTTAATATTTTCCGCAAAACGAAGAGAGAAATCAAACTAGACTACAGTTAATAGGGGGGTAGGACTTCGACACCGAAGGTTACAAATTTTTGGATCCAATTACAACTAAACAGGGCCAAGCTACGACACAAAATATTAAGATCGATTCTAAAGTGTTAAAATTGTTCATAACATGCATATCTCAAACGATATTGTTTTGTTATAACTTGACCCAAAGAGTATTACTCTTTGAGATATAATTGAAGTAAAGGTGCTGGTCTCTAAATACAAAGAATTTAAGGGGTCAAGATGTCAACGTGCAATTGTTGGGATTCGGCAATTGTCCTTTCTTTTCTTTTTCATTTCCCCCCTTCACTTTGGGCTTCCAGTGATTGCAACATGTGCTTCCTTAACATCCAAACCAAAGTGCATAGAACATGAAGCAGCAAACCTGTTTGCACATCATCAATTACATCATGAAAATCTATAAACAAAGCACAACTACTCCAAAGAACTTAATAAATTTTCCTTCCGCTTTCCCTTGTTAGGTCCCAGGCTACTTCCTTCCCAGTAAAACACCAGAAACTATCTATTATATTTAGTGTATATGCCGCTGGATTTCCTTTAATTTACATAAATAGCGCTGGGTGTTCTGCCCCTGGTTCCCAGAACAGTCCACACCCATACATGACTCTGATTCTTTCTTTTTCTCTCTCCCCTTCACACTTGAAGAACAGGGAAATAGAGAAAAGCAAGAATATAGAGATAGGGCTAGAGAGACAATAGGCTGATAGATCACCGCTATATTTCATTTTAGTTTGTAAAACACAAAAGAAAATATAATTATCGGATGGAGAAACAAGTTCTTGACTACGTGTTAGTACCAACAGGTCTCATGTTAATGCTGGTTTATCACCTGTGGCTACTCCATCAGATCGTGAAGCACCCCACTAAGACCTTTATAGGCATCAACGCCATCAACCGTCGCTTCTGGGTGCATGCTATGATGGAGGTTCGCATGCATGCATTCATTTATCCATTTTTCGTTCATTTGGTCCTGTATTATTATGCTATTTAATTCTGTCGGGCAACAGTCATGATCACGAAATCATCACAAGCACAAAAATACGTGCATGAATTTATATGCTAGATAGTAACATAACCAAATATCTATCAGTCAAGCCCGTAAAAGCTACTAGACAATGAATAGGGCACATGGAGAACCAGTGAGCTGATTACCTCTTATCAGGGGCATTGTTGACAGTCTTTGTTTTTCATATGCATGCATATAACTGAATATCTATCTGGACTGAAGCAGATTCGGGATAAATATGGCAGGACGTGTCCAAGAATGGGGTTCTGGCTGTACAGACAATGCGAAACAACATAATGGCATCGACTGTTTTGGCATCCATGGCCATCATGCTCAGCTCAGTCATTGCCTTGTTGATGGGCAGTGCTGGTAGCAACCGCACAACTGGCATCGTCTATGGAGACAGAAGTGAGCTTGGATTCTCCGTAAAATTCTTCTCTATTTTGGTGTGCTTCTTGCTGGCATTCCTGTTGAATGTGCAGTCTATTAGATACTTCAGCCATTCTAGCATGCTTATCAATGTACCCTACAAAAAGATATCATCAAACTGGGATCACCATCATCACAATTATTGCGTCTCGGCTGAATATGTGGGAAGGACGGTGAACATGGGGAGTTACTATTGGTCTCTAGGCCTGCGTGCATTCTACTTTTCTTTCCCTCTATTTTTGTGGATCTTTGGACCTATTCCTATGTTTTTGAGTTGTCTTGTTCTGGTTTTCATGTTCTTTTTCCTGGACGTCACCATTGACTCTGGCCGGGTTGCTGGGGCTTCTGATGACGAGGACCACCACCATGACCACCAGGACGAGGAGATTCGTTGAGGAAAGGTCGGCCATGCTTGGTTGTTGTGGCTTTGGCATGTTATCATCAGATCTGTATCATATTTGTATAATAGCATAAAGTGTGAGTGAGAGAGAGAGCAATTTGGATTCAACATAAGTTGAATGATATTGCTCTGTTAGCTTGCTTGACTCTCGATAGAGAGATCAAACTTAATAAGACTCTCAACTGTCTTAAGATTAGTGTTTCCTGGGTTAAATCCACTGCCTTTGCACTTTGTTACAATTTGAGAAGTGCACACACATGAACACACAAATATTACTTTTGTTGGTAAATGATAGGATTAACTAATAAATGGCACCTACTAATGGGGGAAGAAAAGGTTAGCACTATGTTGGTTTTATCATCTTCTGGAGGGGAATGGTCACTTTTTAATCTCCTCACTTCAATTGAAACACTCATCTGATGAGATTAATTTCTAGGCTGCAATATTAGAGAAGATATGTTCCTAAGAATCATGTCACGCCAGATTCCTTCATGACAAGCCTTTGATAAGTACTTTGTTTTGCAGTCTCGTAGCTATTCCGATGAGTTGTGTGAAAAATTGTCATATTTAACTCATTTGCCTACTTACTACTTCTAGAATGACGAGAAATGAGAGTAGACAGTCTTTTGAAGAAGTGCATCTTAGAAGTCGCAAAGTGATGTAAAAGTTTGTCTATGTTCAAGGACTGAATGAGTCGGTACTCATAACACATGTAGTACTTTTACTAATTAAATGAGCAGTTAAATAGTTTGTTAGGCAGTTAGTTAAGTTCAGTTAGTTACAGGTAAGAAATGCTAAGCTAGTACTCAGCTACACAGGTGTATGATGAGGTCTAATTGTTCTATAAATACACTTGTAATCTATACAAATCTTATTGAGAAATGAATTCCAAAAAATCATTTTTCTAGAGTCTTCTATTTTTCATTTTTTTTTGTGAGTTCTCTCTTGAGTCTCTGCACATGAAAACTGCTGTCAGCCGTTTTGAGATTTGCTGGTTCGGTTAGAATACATAAAAATAGCAAAATAAAACAAAATTGAGGAATGGGTTTCCCGCCCTCTCTCTTGCCTTGAAGAAGAAGTCACTTGGGCAATGCCTTTTTATTTAAACCCCTCTGTCTCTCAATAAACCCCTCTCTCTCTCTCTCTCAAACTCCATACAAGAACACGGAAACGCATTGGAAGATGAACATCGCAAGATTCAACCTGCAATTGTTGAAACACCTTAGCTGTAGGCCAATCTCTACTTCATCACCGTCTTCGATTCTCAATCGGTCCTCACTCCTCTCCAATCACAACCTGCAATTGTTGAAACACCTTAGCTGTAGGCCAATCTCTACTTCATCACCGTCTTCGATTCTCAATCGGTCCTCACTCCTCTCCAATCACCTCTTGCCACGTAACCTCTCTCCTCTTCCCTCACTGTTCTCCACCCCCGTCCGTCATATCCATACCACCCTCTGGTATATAGTTCTTGTTCCGGAGAAGAAGGCATGCGTCATCGAGCGGTTCGGAAAATATGTGAAGACGTTGTCTCCCGGAGTCCACATCTTGATTCCATTCGTTGACAGTATAGCCTACGAGCATTCCCTGAAGGAAAAGCTCATTCCGATTCCAGACCAGTCTGCTATCACAAAGGACGATGTCAAGATTTTGATTGATGGAGTTCTGTATGTGAAGGTACGTCTTCCGTTTTTTCAGAATATTTGGATTTTGATAGTGTTTTAGGTGTTTTAGTAGATTGTAATTGGATTGGTTGATTGCAGATTGTAGATCCGCGGTTAGCGTCTTACGGAGTTAAGAATCCGTTGTATGCAGTTACGCTACTTGCACAGACAACTATGCGCAGTGAGCTTGGGAAGATCACTCTGGATGAGACTTTCAAGGCAAGAGATACTTTAAACGACAAGATAGTGGTGAGCTGTTAACTGAGTGGGGTTAAATGTTTTATAGCCTTTTGTTTTTCTCCTAGTTATTTGTTTGCTGGTTTATCTCATTTTGTAGCAAGGATATCACCTTGCATGAGTTGCTAGTTGTTACATTGGTTATATTTTATAGGCTTCATTGCTCGAATTTATGATTTGTGGTTTATCACTTTTACGGAAGTGCCCTGTGGACACCTTTGTAACTCAACACTAGTGAGGTTTCACATGTTTACTTCGTGTAAAGTTTACTATTGGTCTTTTTGTTAGCAATAATTGAAACTGCGTATCTCTGCTTTTGGATTCAGAAAGTTGTAATTTAAACTGTAATTTAACAACACTGCACACCAGTTACTTTAAACATTAGAAGAGGATATGCCCTTGTAGTCTAACAATGTTATGCGTGGTAATTGGTTGTCTAGGAGTACTGTTGTTTATGATTAACCTCCATAATTCTTCATAATAGATAAAAGTTGTTTGCGTATTTTTTGTCTTTCACACATGTCAAATCGATTACAAATGAGCATATCATATGCATTAACTCTTTTGTTAGGACGTAAGAGCACTTTTGGAGGTTTTGTGAACTTTCGAGAATCCAGTTGTTGAGATAAAGGACCAAGTAATATGATAATATATGTATTATTTTCTAATATTACCAATAAAAGTTCTGTTTGAAATCTTATTGTACACATCAACCAAATATTTTAATGGAAGTTATTCTTGTATGTAGTTGTTATTGTGGAATTGGATGTTTTTCTTTTCTATAATACAATTGTTTTTACACCTATACTGTTTAGCTCGTTGTTGCTATACATGTTATATGCTTAGAATTGCTTGCTCTACAAGTGTGCTTTGTTTTCAGATGGCCGTCAATGTTGCGGCAACAGATTGGGGTCTGAAATGTCTGCGTTATGAAATAAGTAGGTTGAAGAATTTTTGTTCATCTGTATTTTTCAATGGCAAGTGATATATAAGTCCCATATATTTTCTTTTTAAGGGGATATATCTCCTCCCCGGGAAGTGATGGCAGCTATGGAGATGCAGGCGAAAGCAGAGCGCAAAAAGAGAGCTCAGGTTCTTATATCAGAAGGTAACGAAGTTTTCATCCTCCCCCCTCTGTGATCTGTAATTGAGTTTAATTTGTGCAATCTAATAGTCTACTGAATAGGTAGGGTTGAGGGTGCAGCATACTTGTTATTAAACAAGTATTATTTCATTCACATGGTTTTATAATTTATTTCTTTGATAACTGATTGAGACATATCAGAATTCAATAAAAGGAGGAGGTTAACCAAAAGAAAGAATGGCACAAAATCCAATACATGCACCATTTAAGTATTGAAATAACTCTAATGCCACCATTTAAGCCAGAGCTCCAATGTGTTTACTGTGGATGCCAGAATTCACGGACTACTACTTATTTATATAAAAAAAAAAACACAGGAATTCACAAAAAATCTTCTAGTATACCCCTCAAATTTACAACGTATGACACACACTGAGGTATTTTTACAAACAATGCTGGGATGACCATGAACTCAGACCAAAAGCCAAAAAAAATTCTCCACCACCAAAAAAGTAGGATCCAAAAACTGAAACTAGTTGGGAAGATAGGAGTGACGGGAGACGACAAAGGGGGTCAGAGTACTGAGTGTCCCACAGTCAGTACTCCGAGCTCTCTAGAAATTGGGTTGTGGATGAGTGACTCTTGGTTCTCTGTCCGTTTTACTTAGAGAATGGGGCTGTAAGAAATCATCCTATTACCACCAATAGATATCAATGTATCATCTGTTGCTCCCATCAATGTGAATGAAACTACGGTCTAGATGCAGCTAACTTCCCAATCTCCCTGATGGAAATGTCCATAGGTAAGGTTTCCCTGATATGAATCATTGTAATTTTTGTTACCAAGCTTAGAAATTGCCCCAATCCCCGTCCCATTCAAAACTCTTGGCCTAGGGTGTGTCAAGGAACAATTCCACCGGTTGCTATTCTCACTTCAGGCTAGGAATGGATAAAAATTGCCTGAAACCTTACAATTTTTGCAAGGAACATAGTAGACAAAACCAATGTTCTTCTTTGTGTATTTTCTTGTAATTGATGTGCTTCAATATTTAACAGGAGAAAGGCAGACAAACATTAATATTGCACATGGGAGAAAGATCTCAGTCATCCTTGCATCAGAAGCTGCGAAGATGGACCAGATTAACAGAGCTCAAGGTTAGTTATCATATTCTATCAATCACATTACTGCTTCCCCTTTTTACCTCCCTGGCAAATAGCGCATTTGTGGCTATTATACTGTTGGACTGTGTTACATGGACTCGGATACATGTCAGATGCAGGCATGTTTTTGAGCGTGGTATTCATCTGATATTCAAAATAGAGTGATACCTTAATGCTTATTTCTTAAATATTTCCAAGGTAAAATGGTGTTTTGTGTGATATAAGAGACTTCTAGTGCAATTTAATGATAAACTTGAATTTCTAGACAACCTTGCTCGGTGAATGTCAATTGGAACATGTCGGTGACATTACCACTCCTATTGAAGAATTGAGTATCTGACAAAAGTGATTCATGCATTTTGAAAAGTCAAATAACATCGGATGTTGGGTAACGATAAATAAAAATGACAAAAAATACTGGTAAAATTGTGTCCTCAATTTATTCAATAAAAGGAGGGGCTTTTTTTTTGGAGGGGGAGGGGAGGAAGGAGCCGATTTGTTAATTTTAAAAATAGGCATTACAAGTTCCTATGTAACATTTCCATTGGAGATGAATTTCATTTTTAAGGTTGTTATGCACTAGTCTTTACAGAATTTGCCTTTTTTTTACTGCCGCTGAGGGAACTCATATATGTTTCTTTGATTGCCTGTAATATGTGATCTTCTTGATGTTCAATGTTGCTCAAATTGATCGTTCATTCTCTTGACCCCACACCTATTGTGCTTTTTAATCCTTTCAATGATGCCATGGATCATATCGACGCTCCTTTATGCCAGTGTTGATTTCCCTTCTCGTTGGCAACTTCTGTCCTGATTCTTTAAAAAAAAAATTCAAATTAATAAATCAGGAGAAGCAGAAGCCATCCTTGCAATAGCGCAAGCAACTTCCAAAGGAATTGCTATGGTATCACAGACACTTAAGGAACATGGGAGCATGGAGGTGAGGTCATTCAGTAGTTTGATTGCATTTTTTGTAGTTATACATTGATACAATGTAGAAGTCTCCCTTCCTTAAATCTCAAATTAACCACACAATTGCTTATCTAAATCCAACTGGCTTGTTATTCAATCGAAGAAATCTGCTGTCGCGCCACAAAAGTCGAGTATAACTATGATGAACTTAGGGCTGAGGGTTTAAACAGTTGTGAATAGGGTGAGGCTTTGAGCTAAACTTTGATGACCTTTTTCAGTCTTCCATTTTATCTTGCTAGTGAATGTTTGGTTCTTCATGAGAGTTTTCTAGCAATCATCCCAGTATTTAGCAATTTAGGTGTGGTTTTTCCCCGTAATTGTAAATTTTTTTAAACTACAGATAATACATACTTTTTATTTAATCAGTTTGATTGCAATTTTCTATTTTTATTAATTTTTTTGTAATTTTTAATTCTTTGGTAATCCATTTTTTCAATTTTAGGAAAGAAAAATTAATAACAAATCATAGGAGAGTCCAAATTCAGGGCTGCCAATTTTTTTTAGAATTTAGACAATATGTACTTTTTATTTAAGTCAGATAGATTGTAATTTTCTAATTTTTAATAATTTTGTACAATTTTTAATTTTTTGATAATCTCATTTTTTCCATTTTAGTAAAGAATTCAAAAAATTAATAATAAATCAGACAAGAGTTCGAGTTTAGCCCTGCCAATTTTCTTAGACTCTAGACAATATGTACTTTTTATTTTAATCAGTTAGACTTTAATTTTCTATTTTTTCATAATTTTTGTGCAATTTTTAATTCTTTGATAATCCATTTTTTCTATTTTAGAAAAAAATTCAACAAATTAATAATAAATCATAGGAGAGTTTATATTCAATGCCACAAATTTTTTTAGACTTGAGACAATATGTTCTTTTTATTTTAATCAGTCGGTTTGAAATTTTCTAATTTTTAATAATTTTTGTGCAATTTTTAATTCTTTGATAATCCCATTTTTTTTATTTTATAAAAAATTTTAAAAAATTAATAATAAATCATAGGGGAGTTTGAATTTAGCACAATCAATTTTTTTAGATTCGAGACAATATGTACTATTTATTTTAATAAGTTGGATTGCAATTTTTTATTTTTAACGGAACAACCCTCTTTATTATCTCATATCTTTCATTCATTTACTTAGATATCACCTCAAGGCCTCATTACAATCTATGAAAGTCTTAAATGATCTAGAGAAGCATGAGGGATGCATACTTTAAAAAAAAAAAGAGAAGTTAGTTTTGCTATTTAATGTCCTAGCATTCCTTTCATGAGATTATGTCAAGGTTGTTTCAATTTTATGCATACTTCATTTTTAGATTATATGTGAGCATACTTTGGTTTGTGCATAATATTCTATCTCACATATACACATGGAAAGCATACCAAGATAATCATAGTGTGATTTATTGTTAAGAGAAACCCTTGATGAGTTTTTGCATCAAAGCTGAATTTGGATAGCTAAGTGAATGTGGATTCCGTTGAGTAAATGCTTAAATTACATATTCATTTCACACACACAAAAGTTTTGAAAGGAAATGTGTAGGTGTATACTCTAGAATAGCATTTAAAGTTATGATGTGTTTCATGTGTGATTAGTTCAAATGTGTTGAACAAAGTTGTTGACATCCCGGTGCTAGTTAAGATAAGAGAATATGCTTTAAATATTGGATACTAGGAAGAGAAGTTTGTAGGTAGATTCACGAGACAAAACTCGTACACTAGGGATCACCTAGGGGTTTAAAGGTTTATTGCATATGCTAAATGCAATTGCGGAATTAGAATAGATTTATATTTGTTGGCTTAGTTTTTACATTGATGACGTTTTTCAGTCTTCCATTTTATCTTGCTAGTGAATGTTTGGTTCTTCATGAGAGTTTTCTAGCAATCATCCCAGTATTTAGCAATTTAGGTGTGGTTTTTCCCCGTAATTGTAAATACAAAAGGGCTAAAGTGGGTGAAAACATTGGTTCACAGCTCTAGATTGGTCGTGAATCATACTTCTAGTGGCCATGAGGGATTTTTAATATTTAGAAACTGTTATTAGAATTATTTGGATAATGCACCTATAAATGTTTTGGGATTTGCAGGCTGCATGTTTGAGAATTGCTGAGCAGTATATTCAAGCCTTCAGCAAGATTGCAGGGAAGGTAAATTACAGTGCTATTAGAAGTTGTAATACACTGCTTCGTTGTTTGAATGATTCATTAAAAATTTCCCTATATCCTATAGGGCACAACATTATTGCTTCCTACTAGTGCTTCCAATCCTGCCAGCATGATGGCTCAAGCGCTTAGTTTATACAAAAGCTTAATTGGCAACAATTCTGGTCATAAGCTTCCAGAAATAAGAAACATCAAGGTTGATTCTCCATATGAAGACACTAAGAATAAGACCCACTCCTATTAAAGGAGCTTGAGGTTCTCGTAGATAAAGACAATAAAGCAAATTAGTAATTGTAGAATGTCACAAATTTCATTGAATTTTTTTTTATCCGTTTTCATCATATTTTCGTAGTTGAAAGCTTTTTGTTTATTTTGGATTTGTTTTTGTGGATAATTATATATTCTACCAAGACAGTATATGCTTGAGTCTTACTGCTGAGACTTGATTCAGCTGATCGTACCTTTCTTTTTCCTTTTTTTGTTTTTTGTTTTTTCTGTGATTGAAAAGCCTACCTTTCTTGTGGGATCTTCTGTTCTGGTCATTAAAAGTGTATTTCCCATCCATCTATACAAATGTCCAATAACTTGCTTGATATTCCGATGGAAGCCTCGTCAAGTACGAAGAATTTTGTTGTGATTGTTTACAAATTCTTGTACCAAAGTCACAGCTCGTACAGTCTTTTTTTTTTTTTGGTTTAACAGTCGGGTATATTTATGCTGACTTACGTATATCTCGAATAATTTTTTCACAGTTTGACTCACAGCCAGAGGTTAAGTCCAAGGTTGATTCTCCATCATATGATAAGACCCGACAGTTAGTAAAGGAGCTTACCCAGATCTTGGTGAACCTTCTCTTTCCCGAAATGGTATATTTTTTTTATCAGAGGTTGAATCGATCATCTTCGTCATATCTTAAATAATTTTGGTATTTCTCTCTTTTTCTTTCCATCATTGGAAATTTTGTTACATGCAGGAGAGCAACGAAGTGACGAACGAAGAGCCTTTAGATGCATCTCATGAACTGAATGGAGAGAAGCCCGAAAGAGGAGAATAATAGAACTACCAATTACATTTTAGATGCATCTCATGAACCGAATAGAGATGCAAAGTTCTCGTCTTTAGTTAAAATGAGAGCGGTAGAGATGAGAAACAAAACAGAGATTTCCATTGATGATACAGTCCCTTCTGTGCTTGAGGGGCATGACACCCTCACTTTCCCGTGGAAATACAAGACTTCCAAAATATTTCTCGGAGGATTCCCCAACTTCTGGCCTAGGTAATAATATCCAGAAAAACAACAATTTTCTACTGTCCAAACACAGTTTATTACCTTCTAAGCAAAATACAAATACAAGTATTGTTGATCACTTTCCGACTGCACTCATTTGCAAAATGCAGCTGAAGGTAAGCGCTCTCTTTTTTTTTAACTACCCCTGATTGCGTGTATTCTTCAGTTTTCTGTCAGTGCATCACTTCTCAAATAATAATTGAAGTTCAAAAGAAAGGGAACAAAAATTAATGATCCGCGAAGGTCATAGAAACAATACTCAAGTGAAAAGAACTAAGAATCTCAAAATACCGATCCTTATAACCATCAATTTTTTATTTTATTTTTATTTTTATACTAAAACCCCTCTTCCAAAGAATCAGTGGAATTGTGCAATGGTGGCATATCCATTTTGAGAATAATAATTGACCACCGTTTCATTACCATAACATAAGATAGAAACACCAGGAAAAGAGATACAGTAACACTCAAAGTCCGTGTGTGCATGCGCACATGTTTGGCCGGGGGAGGTTCCTTATGAAAAATTTACATAGCAAATGTTGTTTTCGTAACCAACAATATATAGAGTATAATCCATGACAGGATCTAACGGAAGCCAATTACAATCTGATTAGACAATCAAAATCTTGTGCTTGCAATTGGTTCTATTTTCCAAGTCTTATCTTGATACGCTGGCTGTAGTAGTATGGCATAGTTTGATTTTAGCATGTCTTATGCTCAATAGCTGGTGATCCTGTGAAGAAGGGTATTCCAATCAATGTCTGTAGGGCAATAAGGAAGAGGAAGAACTAGGAGCTACTATATTGCCAAAACAAGGTGACTTTGCTGCCATCATATCCCCAGCTTATTACATATCTCCTAATAAACACGGAAATGGCTACGGTATAGAATACAAGTACAGTAGGATACCGATAGGGCAATATCTTAAAATATAAAAGAATTAGGATACAAAAACGGCCAAGATCTATAATAAAATATATATATATATTATTTTCTCTATTATCTGACAAATTAATACTTATTAGCTTTCTGTAAGTTCTTACATAAACCATTACTTTTAAAAATAATGGATTGTCTCATCATGGTAAAACTACAAAATGAACGTGACTAAATTAAGAAAATAGAACTACCATTCAACAAGTTGGTTTACTTAGAAGTACTTGTTACTGGGAGATAAAGTATAATTCACCCATTTTATGCCTTTTTGACTTGTGGTAATAGATAATACTTGATAAACCCCATGTGCCTTCCGAGAAGAGTTTGCTTTATGTCTCATCGCATGCGAATTCAAGAGGAAGAAGTAAAGATAAAATTCAAAATCATACATATTGTGCCTCCACTTCCATTGCTAAAGCATATTCGTGTTGGATTACCATATCTGAGAACTAACCCAATAAAGAAATATTTTAATAATTATTGGGTACTTTGGTGTGTATCCGATGAATATCATATCTGAGACGGATATGACGACCTAAATGGATTTTCCGTGTGTCATAGAATATGACATTTGGTAGTGGCTAAGCAAGGCTGATGTGATTTCAACATTTTCTAAAGAGTAGTTTAAGCAGCTTGGCTTGGGCTTGGTGGGAATCAACCAGGGTTCTGAAAGCTTACAAAAGCAATGGTGTAGGATGTCAATTTCACAACTGAATTAATTTTTTCACGAATAAGAAGAAACTTGTTCTTGTTTGTCATTGGATGGCTTTGTAAATTGAAAGTGAAATTGATCCTTTGATTTTTCTTTTCCATTCATTCTGGTCTCTTCCATTTCATCGATTTTGTTTGGATCCTCCATTTCTTCCCAAAAAAAGGTAAGGAGAAGGATCAACTGAAGTTCCATAAAAACTAAGCTTATGAAATAAAATTTGAATGGGACTATAAATATTATAGGAGGACATCAGATCAAATTTGGAAAAGGAAATACATAGAAATCATGGCTGAGGTATAAAAACTAGAGAATTGGTCTCTTGCTTATGTTCTTCATGTTGTTTTAAATCTGTACTTACAAATCCAAGCTTAATAAAGGACTTTATAATCAACAATAGCGAGCGCAGTACATCATAACACATACTTCAAATTTTGGTTAAGCATATTGGAAGCACACGAACAAAACTTGCTGAAGTGAAGACAAAACAATGGATTTCTCAGAAGAAAAAGTCTGCACAAAGCATGGCTTTCAACCATATATTAATAAACTGTGATTCCTGGCACACTACACTTACAGCTGAAATGAAAATTCAGCTTCAAAAAAATATAATTGACATATGAAGAACAAAACGATACTGAAAATAAGGCGTAGAAGGCAATAGAAAGGAACTGATCTTTAGGTTGGCTGGCCAAGCCCACCATTGGCATCATCTGTGGAGGCATGGATAGCCGATGGAAGAGCAAGCTCCTTTGACGTCCCCTCTTCAGCTTTGTTGTCATCCTTGACGGCCAAAAAGACGAGAACCGCCAACAAAGGATAACTTATTGTAGTGAGCACCCAATTCATAATCAGTTGGTTTAGGAATGGCACCCCGTTTGCATCAACTTGCCAAGCAACTGCTCCCCCTGCACTCTGCACTCCCTTGTAGAACCCATTATACCTGCAACATATATTCCAAACAACAATTTTTTTTAGCATAAACTAGGATAGTGATTTATATGAATGTCCTAGTAGCTGTATGATGAAACAAGTACCTGCTAAGGATCTCAGAATCATCGGCCAAAGCTCCAATAACCCAGTAAATCATGCTCTGGAACATGGCATCAAGCAATCCATAGCTAAAATACAAGACAAAAGGCCCTGCAAAATCAGAACCATCCTTGAAATCCAGCTTTATCTTAAGCTCATCATGGCGAGAGTAGTCAAGCTGCTTGGCAAGCCCACCACCCCAAATCGCAGTCCCTAGCAAACCCACAACTCCAATTCCAACAAATCCCCTCATCCTTCTGCTTTTAAAACTGAAATCCATTATATATCCGATGAAAACAGAGCCAATCATCTGTGCACCCCAATAAAATACATTGTTCAACCCTCTAGTCCTCAAATTGAACAAAGCCGCATTAACATTATTGAACTGGTAGCTATAAAAGAAGTTACTAGCCAAAGACGCAGGGACCAGCAAGCGCATCTTCCAGTTGCGGAACAATTTGAGAACCTCAACGATTTCAACACACACACTGGAGTACATTATGTTGGTGCACCGAGTACCATCGTCGCGAATAACACGACTAGGATGCATAATAGCCTGTGAGATGATAGTCCCCACAGTCATAAAAGCCATGAACCCAAAATAGGTTCCATCATTTACAGAGGTGGCCTCTTTCCGGTGGTAATTCAGGATAAAAGGTATGAGCCCACCAATAACTCCACCCATGTTGAAAATACTCCAGAACACGGAGATATATGTGCCTTTCCGGTCATGGGGAGGGTAAGAGGTCATGATTGCGCCCTGGGCAGCCCAAAGGAGGCCGGCTCCGATGCCTAGGAAAGCGCCGGCGGTGATGGCGAAGGCCTGGTGTTGGTAGTGGTTGTAATAAAGGAAAGACCCAGCGTAGAGGATATAGGTGGAGCAACCGCAGACTAGGGTGGCGCGTGGACCTAAAATATTGTAGATGCCACCGCCGAGAATGCCGAAGACGGTGAAGGTGGTGTAAAGAGCGGTGTTGGCGTTGTTCGCCGCAGTGGGATCCACCTGGCCACCACCACCCATCCCGGATAAAGCATTGAACATGCCAGGGCAACAGAAACAGACAAGCCCAATCAATCCAACTTGCATTAGGGGTGAATTGAGCCTGAGACTGGACAATTTTCCAGACGATTGGACTGACCCTTTTCCTGTTTCTTCATCCCCTTGAACATCCATTATTGGGGAAATTGGGGATTTCAGGGATGGTGAAGATGTTTGAGATCAAGCGAAGAAGGAAGGAATTTAAAGGGGCAGAGTCGGGTTAATTAATACACTACAGGACCAACAAAGCCACTAAGAATCAGACGCCATAGTGTGTGACGTTCCAGCTTGCAACACAGTAGTATTAGTTATGGATAATTTTATTCGCACATAACATTGCTCATTAGTTATTAATCTAATTATACAGTACTTTTTTTTTTGTTCCACTTTTTTTTTCTGGATAATTAGTTCTTTGAGTTAGCAGAGTTTGCATTGTAATTAAAGACTAAAGCTGTAAGAATAAGTAAAGCCAATGATTAGAGACATTATAGAGTAATGTTATAGAAATCTAATTTAAGGATTTAATGATGTGGTTTCAATGTAATTATTTGATTACTTGTGTGTTCAAATGTTAGATGAAACTCACTGTCGATTTAATGATTGTATTAAATTAAGTCTTCAAATTATATTCAAATAATATTGTTTAATGTTATATGATAAGAAGAGTTTTAATATAGCATGGAAGAAAAAATGATGATATTAATAAATATATAAGTTATAAGAATAAGTAGAGCAAATACCAAAAGATCTAATTTTAGATGATAAGAAGAATTTTGATAGAACATGGAAATAAAAATAATAACATTAATAAAGATATGTAGAGTTTGACCGACTTAACATCATTTAATTTTTTACATATATTAATATGAGCAATGTTACACGGACTTAAAAAATATATTTAAAAATTAGATTTGATAATTTCAATCATTGATTTCACTGTAGGTCCTAGCATTTATTGGGATCCATTATCTATTCAATGGTTAAGATTATCGAGTCTAATTTTTAAGTTCTTCTATCATTACTCTATTAACATTTACAAGCAATATATATGTATATATATACACACATTGCAATCACAACAGGTGCATTTCTCATATTACATTTGTACTTCTTACTATAATTATTGCATTTACATTGTTCTAACGTAAGACATTAAATACTAGTATCTTACATTTCGTGTGAAAATTTTCTATTCAAAACATGAGACACATTTAATTTTGAGATAATATAACTTCAATTTAAGTAGTTGAGGAGCTCAAGGAGAGAAACTCAATAATTGTTTTGAGATGGGGGGAGGGGGGGACCAATATCATAATTAAGGGGTAAAAATGGAACTTTCCCTTTATTTATTGATTTTTTGATGGGGGCGACGCGCGTTAGATGACAACTGGATAGAGTTGGACAAGAGGATTCTCTATGATTCCGTGGGTCAAAAATATCAAAAAATTAAAAACTAATTCAATTTTATATAGATATTTTTTATACTAGCAATGCACATGTAAAAAAAAAATTTAGTTCATTAATTTGTTAGTAAATTTATTTATAATACAAAGTTGATGAGTAATAAAATTGAATTATTTTTTGTAAAGGTAAGCGAATAATAAAAATACCAAGAAAATAAGCACTTAATTTTTTTACCTCAAAATTTGATAAATTTCAACCAATAAATAATAAAAATACTCAAAAATATGGTACATATAAAAATACCTAAAAAATGTTGAATTTAATTTATTTATTATTGGATTGATTGTTGGTCTCAATAAATGTTAAAAATTACCATCAATTCAAAAATTAAAAATAATTAAGTCAATATTATAGGAGATTTGAACAAGCTTTCAAAATATTAGTTATATGAACAATGAAAAAATGAATTCACGAGAGGTTGCACTAAAACAAAGAAACACTAACATAAAAAATTTTAACGTAAATATAAGAATTAATAAATTAACATCAATTATGCCGAATATTCGACTTGTCACACCAATTTAATAAACTAAAACATAAAAATTAATAAATTAACCTCAATTATTATGCCGAATACTTGACATGTTACACCCAGTGTTATCAGAATCGGACCGGTTCAACCGTGAACCGGGACCCTAACCGATCCAGTTCTTTAATTGAACCGCTTAACGAAGTGAACCGACTAAAAACAAGAAAATTGGCCGATTTTTAACAAAAACCGTGAATCACCAATTTTATAAAAATCGGACGGTTTAATGCCTATTTAAAAATTAAATTACATAAATAAATTTTTTTGCCCTAAATCAGTAAATAGCTGATTTTTTTTAACCTTATTCTTGGATAAATTATAAATAACACCCTTTCTTTTTCTTTATAATTTACTTGAACCTCTTTACTTTACTTTAAAATACAATAACCCCCACTTTGTTACTTAATTTCATTAATTTTATGGCAAATTATATGTATTTTATACATATTTTATATTTTTTAGCTAAATTATTAAGTTTTATAATTATTATATATATTTTTTTATTTTTTTATTAAATAACCAGTCCAACCAGTTGACCTAACGGTTAAACCAGTGAATCATTAACCCGATTCCCTTGCCGATTCGATGACCGGTTCGGTTCTGATAACATTGGTCACACCAATCTCATAGAAAGCTACTTGACATTAAATTAAGAAAAATTAAGTGTCACAGAACATAAGAATTAATGTAAATATAGGAATTAATAAACTAAAATAGATGAATTAATAAACTAACTTCAATTATGCCGAAAACTCCAACTTCGACTTTATTGAGTTTGTCACAGAAGAGTATGAGATCATAAGACTTCAAATAAATGACTATGACATGCCAACTTCTACCTCTAACGTGAATGAAAGAAAAAACTTGTTCAATAACTTTGCAAAAAAATTTGATCTCATTTAGAAGTTTAATAAGTAGAAAAGACAAAAAAATATGTATAATGTATCACATAAAAATTACTAATATGTGGTGTTAGAATTCTACTAGAGTTTGTACAATTGAATGAAAAAGAAAGAATGTATTGTTATAGAGATAAAATTTATCTATCAAGTCATAGAGATAAAAGTTGATATAGCTAATATTTTGATAAAGTTTATCTACCAAATCATAAAGATAAAATTTATCTAACTAATATTTTGGAAGTCAAGTAAGTATGAAAGATAGGAAAATATGTGGATATAATTAGTTTTATGATAATAATTAAGGGTGAAATAGAAAATCAAAATTTTTTCATACATGCTGATATTTATAAATTGTATAAATTTATAAATATTTTTGTAATTATTATAAGTATATAGTTATCACAATAGTGATAAAAATACTCACAATTATAATAAAAATATTCACAAAATTAATAAAAAGACTCACAAAAACAATAAAAATACCTATTAAAATAATAAATTTTAAAAGTAGAATATTAAATTTCTTTTTTGCCAATACCATAGCGGAGTCCATCCTAACTTTGTGATTAGCCGATTAGGAATTGAATTCAATATGTTTCATCGAAACATTAGGAAAGTGCCGTTGTCACATTATTTTTACAAGGAATTACCTAAAACACTAATTATATCAAAGAATGACGGATAAATGGATGATTTTTTCAATAACTGCAAGACAAACTGAGTTGAAAAAAATTGATCAAAGAGACATTTTTTCGATAATCTTTAACACATACGTTGGACTAATGATGTAAGAGAACCTTCTGAGCACCAAAAGAACAATTCATTGCCCACCTTAATTATGGATATTTGTCTCTCGTGTATAGAGACAATAAAGCAAATTAGCAGCTGTAGAATGTCGCAAATTTCATAGAATTTTCTTCTTTTTTTTTTTTTTATCCATTTTCGTCATATTGCCATAGTTGAAAGCTTTTTGTTAATTTTGGATTTATATTTGTGGATAATTATATATTCTACCAAGACCGTATATGCTTGAGTCTTACTGCTGAGCCTTGATTCAGCTGAACCTACCTCTCTTTTTCTTTTTTTTTTTGTTTTTTGTTTTTTGTTTTTTGTTTTTTGTTTTTTCTGTGATTGAAAAGCCTGCCTTTCTTATGGGATCATCTGTTCTGGTCATTAAAGTGTATTTCCCATCTATCTATGCATATGTCCAATAACTTGCTTGATATTCCGAAGGAAGTCTCATCAAGTACAAAGAATTTTGTTGTGACAGTTTAGGACAAAATGTAGAGGCCAGATTCTTGTACCAGAGGCACAGCTCATAAACATTTTTTGTTTTTGGTTTAATGGTCGGGAGTATTCATGTCAATTTATGTATATTTCGATTAATTTTTTTTCTGGTTCAATCAAAAATAAACCATATACGCCAATATTAAAATATTCATAAGAGATAAATCTCTCATAGTCCGGCACCAAGAAATTACTAAAATTTAAATTCAAAACATGTAAATTTACGACTCATCTTTGTTATTACTTAAGTTATCTTGAAGAGATAATCATACGCATTCTGCTCGTGCTTAATGTTAAACCCAATTGAACTCGGGTAACACAATCTGGGTTGGACATCGTTTTCAGTTCTCGTGTCAAATTCGAGTTAAATTCAAAGAAAGTATTTAACAAATCAGTCAAAATTCAAATTAAACTCTAAAATCCCAACCCATATTTTGGTCGGATTGGATTATATGGTTCCAAGTTACTTGTAAATTGATTCATCTTACTTGCACCCCTAATAGAACATGATAGCCTAAGAGTTTGGCGTGTAATTTGTCAAAATATATAATTTTTGGGTTAAATTACTTCTTTTTATACGATATTAAAACATAATTTTTCTAAGTAACATTCTTTTTCGATAAGTAACGTTGTTTTACCTATAATTCTCAAATAATTCTCTGATTGTGATATCGAACTAAGTCGCACAATGGGGACAGTGATGTGCACCCATTTATTTTTAACCATAGAAATAGAATATAGTTGGATAGGAATTAGCATCAGCTTAATTGACAAGTTTATCTTTTCCTCTTGGCCTTATGCACAGCACTACTAGTCGGCAAACTGGCCGGCCGGCAGCGAAACAGCACTTTATGTATCCCATTCCCACTTGAGGGTCATCGAAAAAGTAGTCCATTGACATTAATTATGTTCTTGATGCATTAGTCTTAATATATAACTTGAACATTGAATCTATATTTAACAATTACAATGACGTTGTTGGTTAGCCGGCATCATTTCAAGATTCAGCTCCTCTCTCTCTGATGACAGCAGCAGTTAAATATGCGTTTGTCAATGAATCAGATTTTGATCCGAATCTGAATATAAATTAATATTTTTTACTTATAATCTGAACCCGTAT